CACGTTCGAATTCAGCTGTGTTAATATGTGTTATTTGACCACCAAAAGGTAATGATATTGGTGGAACAATCATCATACCACGTTGTGTAACATTTTTACTAAAACAATCATAAGAAACAAACAAAACAAAGGAAAAGAAAAGGATTATTTGTGTCGTATGTTTTTCTTTGTGCAATAAAGTAAAAATTTCATTGAACAAAAATGAATTAAGCATTAATAGCAATAAAAAATAATTTGATAATAAACTTACGCTCTTCTACTACTAAAACTACGAGCTTTACGTTGTTTTAATATTTCATAATTAACACCGTAATCCATTCCATATGTTTCCCATGGTTCAACAATACGAAGTGCTGTTAAACGTGTATAATAACCAGGTGGAGGTTCTAATGGCTAAAAATAAAAACAATTAAAACTTTAAATCTAATCTCTTTTATGTTATTTACTGAATAAATAGCTTTTTCGACAGCACTTGTATCAAAATAAGGACTTAAATCATTATAAACAAATGGCTCATAAGCTTTGCTAAAAAAGAGAAAAAAAAAATATATAAAATCATTTTTTTATTTGGAATTTTATTCTACAAAAAAAAGAAAAAACTAACTGCAAAGGTGGACGTAATTTTGATGATTCACTTCGAAGACTTTCTCGTAATCGACGTAGTTCACTTTGTACATAATCTTCTCGTTGATGACCAAATAAAGCACCAACAGGATAAAGATTAGCTTTGTTTTCTTTATAATCAAGATGTATATCAGCTTTAAAACTAAAAGTATTAGCAAACAATAGAAAAAGACAAGATATTGAAAAGAAATATTTTTCTACTAACTTATATGTTTCATTTCCTTTTTTTATTTGCATTGTTTTTAAATGCCAGACCATATTTTTATCTGTTCCATCATGTTCTATTATAACTCGTCGAATTTTTCCAACATCTGTTGTTCGACATGTAAATTCATTAGTGGATTTTGATTGAAATGGTGTATCACCATTTTTTGTTTGTGTTAATGGAATACGAACAGTACCATTTTCACCACGAATTTTTAATGTTACTGTTGCTTCCAGTGCTTGTTCACCTGTTGATATGATAATTTCATAATCAGCATCTAAACGATAAAAAATAAAATACAATAAAAATCTATGATTATTTAATTATAAATTTTACCATCTCGTTTTCTATTATGTAATCTTTCTGATTGAACTCTTCTCATTCTATGAAATTCTTTCTATATTTTTATACAGACACACTCTTCGAAAAAAAAAAACTGTCAATTTGCTTTCGTTTTGTCTCGACTCTGTTAATGTTTTAAAACGTAACTATTGACTTTATTTTTCTTATTTCTCTTTTTCTCACTAGGGTATCTACTAATGAGTTGACAGAGAATTTTTTTTTTTGAATTCTTATCTTTAATGCTTACCTTTCGTTTTAGCAACTAATTTTGATGTTGTATCGACTGTTTTAGATGCTTTACGTGGTGTTTCTTAATAAATTAAATTTTGTATTAGAAATATAAATAAAAAGATTTTTTTTTGATTAATCATTACCCGTTTTTTTCAGTATAGGTGAAGGTGTTAATTCCACTTCATCGTCTTTTTCTATTTTACGTTCGACATTAAATCTAAAATTTGATTCTATTAAAAGAAGAAAGAAAAAAAACAAAAACACAAATGATTTACGTTGTTGTTTCATTATTTCGTTTGATTGTAATATTATCAATATCCCAACTAAGTGTTTGTTCATTTGGATTTTGACTAAGAACAATTTTTGCAATCTGTTTAAAATAAAATGAAATTTTTTGAATTGAATTTCCTTTTAATGAATAAAACTAACCTTTCCAACATCATTTATTTTAAATTCATATTCGACTTTATCATTTTTTTTCACAGAACTATCTTTATTTGTTTTTGTTGTTTCATTAAGTAGGATTTTTTTTGTTTGACCATTTTTTCCATAGATTATTAAATATAAATTACTATCATTTCCTTCTTCTTGAGATGTACCAGTTCGTATAAGAATTTTATAAGTTATTTCTGTAGATAACAAAAAAAAATGTATTTATTAGTATTTACTTAAGATCCTAGTCACCTGTCTTTTTCGGTATAGCCGATGGTAATAATTCTATTTCAGAATTACGTCCAATTGTTTGTTCAGCATTAAATCTAAAATTCTTTTCTTTGTTTTTGTTTACTTTTAAAAAACCTTTGAAAAAATTTTACGTTATTGTTTCATTAGTTCGTTTAATAGTAACATTATCAACATGCCATACAAGTTCATTTTCAGAATCGTCTTGTCCGAGGGCAATTTTTGAAATCTAATTGATATGTAAACGAAAAATATAATATATATTTTAAAAAAAAAGAGTATTTTAATAACAAACTTTTCCGACATCGATTGTTTTAAATTCAAATTCAGTTTTGTCATCTTTTTTAAATAAGTTTTTCTTATCGGATATAATTGCATGTTTAAGATAAAGTTTTTTAGTTTGATCTTTTTGTCCATAGATTGTTATATAAAAATTAGCATCTTCATTAATGATATCTTTTTGTTCTGAGCTAGTACAAATTAAAATTTTATATGCTGTTTCTATAATAAATTTTGAATAAATGAAAAAATTTAAAAAACAACAAAAATAAAATAAATTTGACCTTTAATGGGAGGAATTTTTTGTTCAGATGTATGACTGCGTGCTTTTTCCGGTTTAACAGGTTCTGGACTTGGTGTTTTTCCTATGAAAATAATGATAATTGAAGAAAAAAAAATTCAAAGAATTATTAGTTTTAGTTTTTATTTTTATACTAGCTGGAGTTGGTGTTAAATCAATAAATGGTGTTGATTCATTGAGAATTTTCTTAGCGGAAAAACTAAAAAAACGAAAAATTATAAACAAACAACAATATGAAAAATATTTATATACTTGTAATTTTCTGATCCTTTTTGTATTTGAACTGATTTTAAATGCCAAGTTGGATGAACACCTGTTCCATCGAGTCCAATGTTAATTTTATTTATCTATAAAACGATTTTCAAGAAAATAATAATAGATTTTATTTGTTTTACATACACTGCCAACATCATCTAACTCCATTTCAAATTCATTTGTTTTGCCTGATTCAAACAATGCTTTATCATCTTGTTTTGTATTAGTTAATTGAAATTGTTTAGTACTATCTTTATCACCAAATATTGTCATTAATACACCGGATTTTGTACCAGCATCTTCTTCGGAACTTGTTACAACCGTAATTGTATAAGTAGCTTGATCTATGAAGCATAAAAATGAATAAAAACAAAAGATTAGGTTTCTATTTACCTTTTTTCGGTACTGGTGATAATGGTGGTGTTTTTTTTTCATCTGCTAAAAGATCGATAAAAGTTTTTTTATCATCTTTGTCTGTACTTAACCATCGATTAGCTGTGAATCTAAATAATTGTTTTGTTTTTGTTCTGATTTCATTAAAAGAAATTTTAAAATAAATGAACATACGTATAATGTTCATCTTTCTTTTCAATTTGAATTGATTTTAAAAACCAATGTTGATCAGTACCTTCGCCACCATCATGACCAATGTTAATTTTTTTAATCTAATAGAAAAAATTTCAAACATATATCATTAATAATTAATGAAGAAAAAAAACAAATAAACAAAAAAAATTTTACTTTTCCAACATCGATTGCTTTTAAATCAAATTCAAGAATACTGTTTGCATCAAATTTTGCATCAGAACCATCTTTTGTTGTTCTTAAAGCTAAATTTGTTGTTGTATTTTCATCACCAAAAATACATAATATAACATTAGCATCAATACCCGATTCACCAGTTTCAATAATAACATTATAATTAATATCTATTCAATAGATAAGGCATAATGAAAAAGAAAACAATATTTTTATTCATTTCAATCATAATACAAACCTTCAGAAGTCATTAGAAAGCTTTTTTTTCTTAATTAAATTCTCTAAGGTAGCTCGATATGTCGTGTTGTATTTTTTAAACCTTTTCTTTTCTAACGATGACGAGAACAATGTTTCTTTATTTGCAATTAAGTTTTTATGTCGACAAAGCAACCTTTTTTTTTTGTAATAAAAGTATGCATGAGAAATGTCTTTTTCTTACTTTCTCTCTCTCTCTCATTCATTGTTGATCAATATTTTATTCTGCATGCTCATACGAGCTTTTAAGGCGTTAAGTATTGTTTTTTGACAACTACATCTCAAATGGTCTATGTTTATGTTTTTCTTTTTCTCTAAATGTCATTAAAAATGTAACATAAATGGTATTATAATGTATGCCAGCTATAAATAACTATGTTGTTGAAAATAAATGAACAATAAAGTATTTTAATATTGAATCACAACCTTGAACAAAAGTCTTCTTTCAAATTCGAAAGGAGAGAAAGAGAATTCGAAAAACAAAATTTATGTGTTATTTTGTAGAGCTTCAATAGAAATGTTTTATAAACGTAAATATATTACCATCATCGTTTATATCAGGTTTGATTGTCATCCAACTAAAATTAGGTCCTAAACGACTTGATAGCCAACATTGAGCTTGAAAACTAAAAATTATCAAAACTCGAATCATTATAATAGAACATAGTTACTAACCGATAGACAGTTTCTTGGTATTTTATATCGACATCTTCTAATAGCCAAGCTACTTTTTGTTTACTATCACTAAAACCAATTGTTATACTTTCAATCTATGATCAATAGAATAAATTTTAACATATTGATTGATTGATTGATTTTGTTTTTAATAAAAATTGTCTTACATTTCCAATATCTTCATATTCTATTTCAAATTCATCTAAATTTCCTTGTTGAAAAAGTTGTTTATCATTTAGTTTTGCATAATCTTTTAATAATATCTTAGCAATTTGTCCATCAGATCCACGTACAATCATTTCAACATTGTCAGTCGTTTCCGTTTGCGGTACATCAGCTGTTCGAATCGTTATTAGATATATCGAAGGAGCTAAAAGAAAAAATGTAAAATAAATTCTTGTACATTCATTTCTCATTCAGATGATTTCTTTCAAAGATAGAAACGATCAGAATTCTTCACAATCGGTAGCGGTTCCATCTCTGATTTCTTTTTTTTTTTCATTACCAGGTGGTGATGGTGATCGAGGTTTTTCTTGGCTTAATTCAACAAATAATCGTTGATCACCTAGTGTTGGACTTAGCCATTTATTGATAACATATCTAAATAATCGACAGAATATTTAATGTAATGAATAATCATAAAATCAATACGAACTCTTGTTGTTGTGAAAGCATTTGAACTTTAATATTTTTTAAATACCAATCATTAACTTTACCTAATCCTTCATGACCAATTACAATTCGTTGAATCTTTTTTTTCAAAAAAAAGAAAAAAACATTTTAAATAAAAAATTTTTATTTGATAATCAACCATTACTTCTCCGACATTATTGCTTGCGATAGTAAATTTTGATATTGAATCTTTTGTAAATGAAGCATTTTTTGTGTCGAAAAAAAGTTTAGGTGTTGCTGTTGTTGTTCCATATACTTGCATATATACTGGTGAATCTAATGGTTCAATTTGTTCATCACCGGTTTGAATTTCTACATTATACATAACAGCTATAATAAAAAAAGCAACAAAAACAAAAAACAATAATTTCACAATATTCTTAATATAATAATCTTTTTTTTTGTTAACCTGGTTGTTCAGAACCAAAAAGTTCAGCTTCTAATTTTTGATCATTTTTCAATCGACTTAACCATCGATTAGCTACAAATCTAAATAATTGAATAAATCATATTTTCTATTATTTTTATAATTAACAAAGACTATACCTAACTAAAAAATTATGAACAGATATTTCTATATAATCGATATACCATCCAGTTAAATTATCTTCATGTCGAATAATAATACGTTGTGGTTTACCAATATCAATAGCATTAATTCGAAATTTTCTTGTACAACCTTGTGAAAATGATTTATCGTGTCCTGATAATAATAAATCTTGTGTTTGTTTATTATCTCGACCAAATATATTAATATAAACAGGTCCATTTGTACCAGAATTTCGAAAATCACCTGTTTTTACAGTAATTGAATATTCAATATCTAGAAAAAGATTTATATTTTAATTATAAATATCATAGATATTTTATCACTTAACTTGAATTTTGAACTTTATTCACTGGTATAATTGGTCGTTCTGATGATGGATCCGATTGATCTGCTATATAATGAAAAAAAATATATAAATCAATTTCAAATAACAAAAAAAGAATTCTATATTTAAACCTACAAATTTGTTTTTTAGGATCCATACCATCTGTCTTATTACCGAAGCAGCAAGACATGAGTTATATAAAAAGATTCTTTGACTTACGTAGTGAGCAAAGGCAGAAGAAAAACAAAAAGAAAATCCTTTTTTTTCTCTTCCTGTCTGACGATTAACGCTTAGATTAAAATGCAAAATCGACTTCCATTTTCACTGTCTTTCTTCTTCTTCTTCTTCTTCTTCTCCTTGTTCTTCGTTCTTCTTTAACTTCTTTTGATGCTCTTTATATTACCTGAATAATTGACAAGAATTTGCTACCATATATAAAAAGCTGTCTTTCCACTTCTATGCATATGTTGACATAGCAACAAATTCTTCGTTAGGTTTTTATGTAAAATAATTTTCATTAAATAATAACGAAGGGGAGTTCTCGTTTTTTTTTCATTCATCTTCAATAGTAATGATGATGATTTTTTTTTCTTAATAAAAACAAAATTCATTGATATGAATATACGTCAAAAATGAAATGATCATGTTTTCAGATTAAATTACTCAATTCGTATATGGAGTAATAAAATACCTTATTGTCCTTGATGTTTTATTCCAATATGTCATATGAGAATTTAAGAAAAAAGATCACACGCAATTATGAGTAATAAAATTTATTTTACCATCGAAGTGTTTGTGTTGTAAGATAATAAGATTAGTTATAATCGAGTGAAATTAATGCTCGCATTACTAAACTAACAAATTGCAAATATAGGCTGTTGTTAGTATGCCTAAACTAATATATACGAATTTTAAACTACTAACGGTATATGTAACGTACTCACAAATTAAAATTTCAACAGAATTTTCTTTTCGTGATACTTGGATAGAGTTCGTCGAGTCGCATTGAGAAAAAGTATGTTTCAAATTTAAAAAAGAATGTTTTTTTTTATGAAAATTAGAATTTTGGGTTTATTTTTCCTTTTATGTGAAAATTTGAATCTTGGTCCAGATACCCCAAAAATAACCTATATTTTAAATTTGCTAGTTTAGCGGTGAGAGTTTTAATTTGATTCGAATATATTTAGCCGTACAACACAAATACTTTCATTGTAAGATGAGTCATTTGTATAACAATCTGAATCGAAATTTTAGAAATTCATTATTATCTCTTAACAATGTTAATTCGAATTACAAAATCGAGAGTAGTATCAAAAAGAGAATAATTTTGTTTTATGGAATGTTGAACATGCCTCATAATATCTAAAACAACGACTCTATTACAGGAATTGCATTACTTCCTGTCACTTCGTTGTTTGTCAAATGCAGACAGTTTTTAATATATTAATATTCTAATCAGGATTGTGTTTTACCTAAGGCTATCAACAAAACAGGAAAAAACAGTAGGAATCTAAACGCGCATTGAAATATGGAATATCCGAGAAATCCTGCGGGAAATAAAAACATAAATAGCTCTTCAGCAGGTTAAACGATTTACACATAGTTTTTATAGTTTGATGTTATTTTCATTAAAATTAAAATAGTTTCGTCCATGATCGAATTGAAATCAGCCACTAGTGTTTAGAAAAATCATGTCACTGCAAAATTGTATTAGGACTAGATTCTTACGATTGTGTAAAACTAGAACTGTTGAAATTTCGTCATGTTGACGAATACGTAGAGTAATTTCTGAAAAAAAATTCAATGAAGTTAATGATACTTATAAAAATAAGTCGGAACCAAGTGTTCAATGTATGAAACTCATCTTCATAGAGCTGTTAAATAAATTACACTTTTAAGACTTTAATAAGAGATATTTCATCATTACTCAATGGGTTATCGTTCATGGTATTAAACATGTTTATGCAACAAACCGAATACTTGATCTTAGTTTCTTTTCACAAGTGTCATTAACTTCATTGAATTTGTCTTCACAAATTACTCTATGTCTTTCTCAACATGATAGACTTTCGACAGTTCTGGTTTTACAAAATTGTTGGAATCTAATCCTAATGCAATATTGAATTGACAGGATTTTTTAAACATCATTCTATCTAAGATCAATCGAATAAAATTTTAATGAAGATAAGAACAAACTGTATAAACAATATGTAATTCGTTTGAACTGCTGAAAAGCTATTATTCATGTTTCTTTTTCGTCTAGACTCTTGAGACATCCCGAATGTATGAAGATTTTTTTTGAAAATACATTGAGAGAAAATCCTTAGAAATTTTATTAATTAACTCTTTGTGTTTATTTATAACTTAACATGATTTTAAGTAGTTAACAGTAATAATGTGCTTCTACAAAGTAGAACTGGTCGTCATTTTGATACTTCAGATAATTTGCTATTTGAAGGCATACGTATAATGAAAAATAATATGCCGCTTGATAGAATTCTCTTTCAAAGAAAATTTATATATAGAATTTGAGCTCTCTTTTTAAATTAAAAAAAACAGATGCACACATAGTTAATGATGCATAGCATACACATTGTAAAGACTTTTGATGAACGGACAAAAAATGTCAAGTGAATAATTTTTATTTAACAGACTTGTCTTGTAATTAGGCGATATTCTCATAGACACGTGACAGAAATGAATTAATATGCAATATCAAAATTACATTTTTGAAGAACATTGATGAACGTAAGTTTTAAATTGAAATCATACAGCGTCTCTTCTTCTCCATTACAGACCTTAGCAATCGGGCTTAAAGAAAATAAGGAGTTTACATAGCAAACACCATTAGTTGAAATTTTAAAATCGAAGAGAAAAGTAAGTAAAGAAAAGAGTGTAGAATTAAGGTACTAATATGTGCACTAGTAATAGTGAGGCAATGTTTTTTTCTTATTGTAGTTAGTACTTTAGCATCTATCTGTAACTGTTTCAGTTCATGAGAAATATTATTATAGTCATTTGTTAATTCATCCATTTTGACTGTTATCGTATAATTTTTTTTCTTCATCATATCATAAAAACAATAGTGTTGCTCTATAATGAACAATAAAATGAATTCTTTATTATAAACTAATTAACGTTATATTGAAAATGATATTTCATTGCATAAAAAAAATTTATACTAAATTATGTGCTAGCTTATATAAAACATATGAGTTTCACGTTTCAGCCCCAAAGGGATTGCATTAGCCAGCTTTTCTTCTAAATTAAGATTGTAACTTCTGGAAAAAAGATTTATGCTGTGTATATTATCATCAAAAAGTTTAAGACAGATGATATCGAGCTTTTTTCAATATGTTTGATTGCAGAAATGTAGTGATTAAGTTGATATAAAGTTGCCACTTAAATTACATCAAATAATATCTTACTTTTATAGTGTTTTTATTTAATAACTACGTGAGAATAACAAAGAAATTTTTTAAATCTATTGTTTATATAAAGAGGCATCAATGCATAAAGCAGAAAATAAATCAGCACCGATTGTCAAAACACCAGACCGGTTCCATCTGTGGCTTAAAGAGTAAATATTTTTTGTTGTTAAGATATTCTTTTTTTTGAAAATTAATTTAAGAAAAAGTGTATTTATTCATTGTGTCAAAGATATAGAATGCTTATAAAGTCGGTTTTTTGCGCATTAAATAACATTTTTCATCTTTTTTTTTGTCTAAGTTTAAGATCTTCTTAAGATAATTTTTTGTAAATCGAAATAATCCAATTATCAATAAACTTCTACTATTTAGCGCTAATTCAAGTAGATAAATCTTTAATAACGAAAATTATTCTTTTTTTGTTTAAGTACGTTTTGACTTTTTTTGTGTTAAAGTTTTTATTTGTATAATAAAATGGCCGAAGAACAAATAAATCATCTTGAATCAATCATTAAAAATTGGTTAAATAATGGTGCACAATGTAATTCATCATTAAAACCTTATACACGTTCACTTTATCCAACATATAATCCCGGTATTCGAACAAAACGTATCGATCATAATTTACATAAATCTAAAACTAATAAAAAATCAAATCATAATCAATTAATTTTATCAAATCAAAGTATGATGATTAAAATGTGTGAAGATTTTCTTCGGCATAATCGAGAATTATTAAACATTTGAAAACTACAAAATGATCTATTCAACAAAGAAATAAACAGTCGTTATTTCATAGATATTTATAGTTAAATCTTTTTTTTTTTGATATAAAAGTATACCGAGTGTGACAAAAGTTTTGCGACATTCTTTTGTTTTGCATGTAACTCTGCTCAGAAACATGATAGAGCGTTGATTTTTTTTTAAAGCGGTGCAAAGCACAGCATTTCTGTAGTTGGTCGCATACCCATTTGACCTCCATACTATGCGTATTTTACGCTGTAACAAAATCTGTGCATTGTGTCGCAATGTTCTCGAGAACCTTGTCTCGAGATGATACAAAGGTTTTTGAATTCTTAATATGAGTTTTCGTCCATTCTCAGTAAGTTCGATCAAACGATGATTTTGATGATTTGGCCTTCATCTTCTATCTATGATAATTGAAATTCGGTGAGTTAGTGTCTAATCAACTATTGTGAACAAGGTTAAAAATGTAAACCTTCGACAAGACAGGATCAACTCTAGGTGAAACCGTTTATTATTCTTATGTTAATCGGCATAGCATTGCTGAAAATTGAGGTCGCTTCGTGCCACATTTATGTAGTCCTTTGCGAGATTTCTTTTTACGTTTTACTTACTAGGCATAAGCATCGAAAGTTATCATTTTTTGTTGCAATGGTATCGAGAACAGAGAATGAGAAAATACGCAGATAGACAGACGTTCTTGTACTACTTTATTCACGCATCAAAGAAGATGATGGATTTGCAGATAATCTTTTTTTGTATGAAACTCTTATATTTGAAATCGAAGCCAATTATATTTCTTAAGCTATTTACCTTTGTTACATTATAAATAACAAGAGTAAAAACAAGCTTATTGCAGTTCCAGCAACAGAGAGAATATGTATCTCATCAAACAACGATGTATCGGTTAGTGAGATCAGCATTTAGTTTTTTGCTAGGACTTTCGTAAGCTTTGAATTCCTACTATTCATAGCGTAACAACAGT